GTTAAGATTTGTATAGTCTATTGTATCATAATCTACAAGTTTAATATCGATTTTATCTTTATCTAATAAGTTAAAGATTTTAACTAGCTCAGATCCAATACCCCCACTTCCTACTACTAGTGCATAAATCTTATCTTTATTCAAAACTTTATTTTTCATATAAAAAATTAAAATATAAAATTTGTTTCTTTTATTAAACAAACATTTTAATATTTAAGTTCATTTATATTTTTAAATTAATACAGTTTAATTTTATAACTATTTTAATATTAGTTTGAGTAATTATTTTATATTAGTTTCTGAAAGTTTTGATGTAATTTTAAAATGTTAAATATAACAGTTAATTTAGTATTTACACCTTAATGTATATCTATATTGTTAATAATGAATTGTTGTATTTATATAAACAATATAAGTATCTTTTGTATAAATTCAACTGTTTTTATAATAATAAATATATTTGTTGTTATTTTAATAAATAATATAATTTTTGGATCTATTGATTCCATTAACATTAAATTAATTTGTTTCATCACTTTTCTTTCTAATATAATGGTATTCAAAAAAAATTGATTACTAATTTTTTTTCAACTTAAGTTTAAAATTAAGTATAAAAACTGTATTTTAAATTTTTATTATACTTCCAATTCAAAAAAATATAGTTTTATACTTAGTTTTAAATTTAATTTTAATTTTAATAACTACTTTTTTGTACACTACTGTACATTAATTACTTCATAAATTTTATTTTTTATTTTTTTAAAAAAACATTAATAAAATAAAATTATGTCTAATTTTCTATTAGTAATTTCATTAAAAACACTTTTACATCTCTTATTTAATTTTTTATATCATTAATGTTTTAAATCAACTCAAACATATACATATTTTAATAAAGAATCTTTTAAAACTGACTTAAATAAAAAAATACTTTGAATTTAATTATACCTTTAAAGTATATACAATAAAAGTCATATTCTTTAGATCAACTATAATAACAATCTATCATATCAAAATAACAATAATACAATCAAATGTTTTTTATCAAAAACATTTAATTCTAATAAAACCAATCAGTTTTAAGTATAAATAATCTAATTTAATAACAATTTTTTTATAAATAAAAAAAATACTTTAAGTTTTATTAATAATTTAAAATATAAAAAAAAATATTGATTAATAAATAATTATCAAATTAAAACTCATTGTTTATATCAGATTATGCAAGATATATTAATTTTACATTGTATTAATATAAACACATGGGTATGATAGGTTGTATAACAAGCTTGTTATTTTGTAATAGAAATAAAAGTATAAAAGAAAATAATGATAAGATTTTTAATAATAAAAAAGAAAATATTTCATTTAAAATTAAAGAAAATCCTATAAGAGCATCAAATTTAGACTCAATCACAAGCAATATAAAAGATAGTAAATTTAAAATTGTAAAGAAAAAAACTAGAAAAATAAAAAAGTATAAAAATTTATACTCTAATACAGTGTCCATGTTTATAGCTGGATTACATTTAAATATTGAATAAAAATTTACTAATACAATTTTATTTATTAAGATGATACTTAAGAAGGTACATCTTCATCTGCTTTTGCAGCAGTAGTAGTATCTGTAGTAGTAGTAGTATCTGTAGTAGTTGTAGTATCTGTAGTAGTTGTAGTATCTGTGGTAGTTGTAGTACCTGGAGTAGTAGTAGTAGCTGGAGCGGTAGTAGTTGTAGTGCCTGTAGCAGTAGTAGAAGTTGTAGTACTTGTAGAAGTAGTGGTAATTGTTCCAGGTAAAGTTATAGGATCATCAGTTAATTTTACACCAACAATTGATTTAATACCATCAATAATATTAAAATACTCACTAGAATACTTTTCAATCAATTCATTATCAATCATAACTAAGTTGTTAATATTCTCTGCAATCTTATCACTAACAGATGAATTTAATTCTTCAATATTCTGATCAATTACCTCAAAAACAGTTTTTTTAATTGTTTTACAACATTCAGTAAAGATGTTCTTAATTGATGAATGACCAATACCTACTGAAACATGAATATTTCTAGGATCTAAAATATGATTAATAGACTCCTTTAAAATTCTAACAGTTGGGTTCAAATCAATCAATCTCATTTCAAGGATACTCTTTAATGAATTAGTATTTATAATAGGACCATTTCTTTCAACAATTTTAATCTGATTATCAATATACTTAATATTCTCAGAACAAAATCTATAAATCGCCTTATTCAAATTTGATAGGAGTTGGAATTTAAATCTATCAAAAACTTTTAAAGCGTTAATTTTCTTTAAATTTTTGATTTGATCACTGATACTATCAAAGATTACATTAAGGTTGAAATCTTCATGTAAATAGAATATATTATAGCAAAGAAATTCAAGTTGTCTCTTTAAATTGGCAAGCATCTTAGAAGTGCCGTTCTCTAAATTTTTTAATAGTCTTTCATTTGTTTTATCTAATTGATTAAGCGTATTAGTTAAAACTGTTCTGCTATAATTTACTGGGTAAAAACTCAAATCATTAAATCCATCGTAATAGTCATCATGATTATTTCTTTTATGTTTACTGTATCCACAACCAGTATTATAAAACTGACGGTATTCATTACCGATATCTATTACAATTTCTTCTTGATTATTTTGCTGTTTAATAGACTCATGATAAACATCTTGAGCTAATACGTTACTTAATATTGAGAAGTACATGGGGTAATTTAATATTTGCTTTAAATATTTCAAAAAAGTTCTAAAGTTAAAAAATTTCCTTATTTATAAAAAGTGATTAAATAATATTAAACTCAATTATTAATTATTAAAATAATTCCTTTTAATAAACCTTTAAATCATTTATAAAAAATTAAAAGTAATATTGATTTATTAAATTAAAAATAAACAAACAAAAATAAATTAAATATTAAATATATTTTATAAATCATCTTTCCATTTAAAAAACCTACATTTCTTATAATTTTTATTGCAACAATAAAAAATTCTTCCTTGATTTTTAGAAGTGTTTGCAACTTTAGCAACAGCATCAACCTCACAATAACATTTAATTAATACAGTATCATTTTTAGAAATATTCTTATTTATGTAAGGCTCATCTTCCCATTGAAAATAATCACATTTTCTTTTATCAGAATTACACTTATAAAACATTCTTCCTTTGTTTTTACCTTTTTTACATTCAAGTTTAATTACTTCTGTTTTACACTTACAAAAAATTTTTATTTCATT